CCCCCCCCCCCCCCCAAAGAAAAAAAAAAACCTGTACTGTGAATTGTTTTGCTTTCACCATTCCGATTAAAAATCGTTAAAGATTCATTTCCAACAGTTCACGTTCAACCCTCCTTCGTTTTTTTGCTCTAGTCATTTGCCCAGCTGATACTTTATGTCACTGAGCACAGCTATCAGATCGGACAGTGCAGGAGATGCTTGTGTGTGCTCGGTCCCAGCAGTGTGTCTGACTGTTATGAGCTGTGCTACTCCCTGCCTCCTTCCCTCCCTCCGTGCAACAGGAGGTAGGCAGACAGGAAGCAGCTGAAGTGCACTGTAGCCTGCTGGGAACCGTGTGGCGGTCCTGTGGCCTCAATGAATACTAATGCCTAGGGTACTGAAAACATGCTGCGTCAGTAACCTGAGAGACTAAAGAATGCAAACTGCTCGATGCATTGAAAGAACTAAACCTGTTTTGTATGACCGTCGCGTCACAAGCCGGCGACACATTTCTTAACCTGGACTTAGAAGATAGCACGGCTAGGAATGAGTAAAGATACAGTAGCGCTGATAGCCACGGTGACTTCACTTAGATGATGATGATGATGATGTCATGCAGGCTGATTGTAGCGATGAGCAATCCCACCTCTTCCTCAGCCTGACAACACTGAGCTGCAATTGGACTCAGTGGATGATAGGATGCAGAACCGGAAGCAATTTACTGTGTTTTATTCTCCCCTAGTGACACATATTAAAAGTCCCTCTAGTGGACAATCAATAATGGATGTTAATCACAATACAAATGGTCCTTTCTCACAATCGTGTTCTGATGTAGGCGCGCTCTCATATTGCAGCTTTGTGCTGGCTGTCTTCGATAAAAAACTGTTGAATAAACAAAATACCGTGCTGACCTGATGGATGTGTTTCATCAGAGCTCTTTCTGGCCCTTTAGCTTACTGAGTGGCTCAGAACCGTTGCTTGAGACTTTGTGTGCCTCAGTCAATAAGGTGTCACGTGGCGCCTTCTTCAGTTGATCACAATTGGCTTGTGATCTCATGTTGATTAGTCCTGCTTTTTATTAAATAGACCATCCAGTGAGTTGAACCATCCAACAGTTTTTTAACAGACAGTTTGGCTTGTGTTTTCACAAGTTAGACTTTTCTCCTTGTTACATTACAGTAGGACTCCAACTAAAGATAGTTTTGATTATGGATTAACCTGTTAAATATTTTCTTTATTAATTGTCTTAAATTTTAAAGTGCTGAAAACTGTCCAACGTAATTTCCCTAAGGTGAGTCTATGGTGATATCTTCTGATATCTGCTGTTTGTTGATAACATATTATGGTTCCAGGTTCTAAAAATGTGATAATTTTCCCTTCCTTGTTGTCCTTCTTTGTGTTTTTTGTACTTTAAAGTTGTGTTGAATTTAGAGTTAGTAGCCCCTGAGGGATTTACCAGCATGCCTAATGTTGTTGTGTGGCATTAAAGGAGTCACTGTAAAAACTGGTCTATTGACCAAGAACCCACACTAGCCACTATCACATCAGATCTTCTTGTCAACATTCAGCCAACAGCCGTGGTGCAAGTACAGGTATCAACTAGTCTTATCTTAAGGTTGCACCTGAAGTAGGGAAGCATGTATGCCTGTATTATGCATTTAGTGTTGCATGTAGATGAAGCCAGCTTAGCCTCACTAAGGAAACTGTGGTGGAAGCCGGGGGAAGACAGAGGAGTTCTCTGTGAAAGAGATATGACTCTGTGATTTTCCACTGTTTTCCCTCTTTCCAGTGGTCACATGATTTTTCTGTCTAGAAATTTTAATCTGGTCCTGTGTTTATTCTTTCTGTCTCTCTTCCTCCTTTCGCTCTCTCTCACACTCTCACTCTCACTCTCCCTCCCCTGCCCCTTTCCTCCTATGCCCATCTCCCCCACATCTCTGTTTTTATGCCAGGCTGCTGGCATAACACAGATGGCCCCGGCTCAGGCAAGGATGTTAATCTGAGAGAAAGATGCCTGTTCAGTTTTTCATTGTCGAGAAGAAACTTGTGTTTGTGTTTGCCTCATTCTATCACTGGAATTTATTTTTTAAACTTTGGAAACTTGCTGTTTCTGCCAATTGTGGCTCTGTGTATAGATTTTTATCTTGGTGTTAATTGCTGTGCTCGCACTCGCAGACACAGGGTTTACTTTTGACTTTGTGCAGACCACTCTGTGGTATTTGGCAGTGAGCTTGTTGTTCTGTAGATTAAATCTGGTTCTCAGCTTGTGAATGCAGGACTCACAATGATACCATGGCAGTGATATGAAGCTGCTTGTCTGAGTGTTTGCTGGAGATTTGGCAATACTTAAACCAAACAAACCCAGTAAATGACACCATGAGTCTAGGACCCTAGGTCAATTTCTTGGTTCCAAACACTGGATTTTGTTGTAATGATAGATTAGATGGAGCCATGTCATAGGACGTTAATGTGTTTCTGAGCATAGTTTATGACTGTGTCTGGAAATGAACATGTATAGCGCTAACAACAACAAGCCGTTCTTGACAGCTCAGATGGAAAAAGGAAAACAAAGTTGGAGATGCGAAGTGGGTCATTGGTTACAGCCCATTTGGCATTAAGAGGCCCGGGGAAGCAGGGACAGCCAAACCTAGCGGCTGTAGCTAACAATGCCTTGTCAGTGGCCTCATCTTCAGGCATGCCGGAGCTCCTGTGTCACTCAGCCAACCAAAGACCCTGAGGGAAGGAGGACAAGCCTGTTAGAGCCTCAGCACTGCGGCCTGTGGTATAGCTCCAACAGGCTTGTTGGAAAGAGGCTAGTTAATGGAATCTACAGATGGGTGAAAGTTTTAAGCAAAAACCAACACAAACCTCTTAGCTGTTCAATTCATTCACATAATTTTCATTCTCATCAAACCACTCAGTGACCCCTTATGTCCTGTATGAATGCATTTAATTTGTCCCCGTCTGTAGACCTTTGTTGAGACAGTTGTAAGTATTTGTAACAAAATCTCGAATTCAGAGCACTTCTGTAAGTTTAATATGCTTGGTAGTAAGAGCTTTAATGTACAGAGGTGGACAGAATTAAAGAAACACCTTACAGTACATTGCAGTAGCCCAGTATGCATTTGTTGAAGTTCATAACGCTTGTCAGATGGGTTTTTTAGTCACTTTCAGGACCACAGTTTAGAGTATTGTTAAGCAAATTCCAGTTGTATTTTGGTCAGTTTTTGATTGCATCACATCTGACTAATTTGATACACACTCTCATTGACCTCTGCATCACTAAGCTATTTATGTAATAATGAGTGCAAAACAAATGGCCACACAGTAGCACTTGTGTCTTAAATCTAACTGTAAACTGTTGACATATTATTTTGACAGCTCATTTTATATGTAAAGCCTCTTACGTTCAAGGACTGTTGGATAGATTAGAGTTTTTCTATTTAGTCTGAGTAAAATCACTGTTAAAATTATGGCTGGCATATATGTACATGTCGTACATCCATCTAAGGGTTTGCGTGCGTGCGTGCGTGCGTGCGTGCGTGCGTGAGTATTTGCAGGGTTTTTCCCCCAGCTTATAATGAGGCAACGTTGGTACCAAAGGTGTGACCTACTGAACCTTAGTTTATTTATTTATTTATTTTTTTTTAAAGTTAATGCACAAAGCCATATATAGGATGCACATGCTGCTGCTATATTGCATGACATGTACACTCGCACATCTGAAAATAAGCAATACTGAGTAACCTTCTGATAAATTCTAACTTTATTATGCTTATTGTATATTGTTTGGTAATTTAAGAGGTTGTAATTTCTGGTGATGTTGCACAGGGTTGACCTGTCGTAAAAGGTGTCAATGATATTATGTTCACCATGGGAAAAAATATTACAAAAATAAGGGAGAAAGGCAAATGATCTTCGGTTGTGTATGGTAGGTGGCTATACAGCAGCATTTTGGACTAACAGATGTCTATGTTTTGAAATTTGTATTGAAATTTGTATTCAGTGTGCATGGGGCAACAGGAAAATAAGTTGGTCTCTAACACCAGTAGTCTCTTCTTGATCACTGGTTCCTTCCTCCTGCAGCAGTTGCCTATATTCTGTCTACTGTCAAACCTAACAAGTTTACTTTTTAGTAATGTGATTATGATTTTATGGGCCAGCACTGTTAAGCTAGTATATCCTGCTGCTGTACTGTCTATAGCATAATACTGTAGTTGCAGTTA